CTACAAATATTCTCTTCTTCAGCTGCTGCCACAACCCGTGGATTTCCATTCACAAGTCTGGAAGCGGCTCCTAACCGGGGCCCTGTTTAAAAGCCAGTGAAAAGATAAACTTCGCTGCAATCCTCTTCCGTTGCCCAGGGAATATTTTGCACGAAGCTCCCGTTTCCCCCTGGCAGGTCCCGCTCTTGGCTGCGGCTGGACCCTCCGCGAAACCCTCCTCGGCTGGACCCGCCACGCTTCCGCGTGGGATGCCCCGACAAGCGAGCTCGGCCCGGCCCACCTCGCGCCTCTTCGCAGCTGGGAAAGGCAGCCCCGGGGGAAGCAGGCCGGCCCGATGCTGCTGCGCCGGACCCCCGGCTCTGCCAAGAGATGGGCCGCAGGTCTGGGTCGCTCCCAGGAGGCCCCCCCGAGCACGAGCGCCTGGAGGACGCGTCCCCCCTCCCCCCTCCCAAGCACACCGTCCCCCCGCCCTTCCCCGGCGTCGCTGTCGCCCAGGGGAGGGGAGGGGAGGGGAGGGGAGGCTGCCCAGGTAACCCAGATGGCCTCGGAGCCGGGGAGGCTGCAAGCCGCCGCTCCGGCGGCGAGGAAGACGCGCCCGATTCTCCCGGGCAAGGCCTGGCCCGCCGCTGCCTCACCTGCCTCCCTGCCGGCCTGTCGAGGAGGAGAGAATCAGCGCCGCGCGCCCCAACCCGCTGGCCGCGCCCCGGCAGCCTCCGCCGCCCGCACCGGGTTCAGCGCCTCGCTGGGAAGGAGGGGCGCTCCCGCCCCGCCCCGCGGAGCCGCGGCTTACCTGGGCCGCGACTGGAAGGCGCTCTGCACGTGCCCAGAGGCGCCCCGCCCCTCTCTTGAAACCCAAAAGCAGCTCTCCCCAATTTCTGTAAGCCCCCCCCCCCCGCCTTTCCCCTAAAGAACGCCGCAGCCTGCTTTCCGTGCAGGAGCCCTGCGCCCCGCTCAGCCCCTGACCTGCGCCCGAGTCGGGGGAGGGGGCTCCGCCTTTTTTAAAGACCCTCCCGCGCCGGCTCCCTCGCCCGGTCAGCCCCTCCGGTTTTTCGCAGAAGAAATGGGCTGATAGATGTTGGTGGAAAGGAGCCCCCCCCCACCCCCACCCTTGCCTGGCCTTGAGGCTGCTGAAGAGCCCCCAGCAGTGAGCCGACCCCTCTCCCTGCCCCGGCGCCGTCGGGAAAGCGGTGCCAAGCAGACCCTCCGGCTCTCTGGCCGAGGGAGGGAAAAGTCATCATCTGGCAGGCTGACACCCTCCCCCCCCCGCAGGTCCTTGGCTGGAGTGAAGGGGCGTGATTGGAAGAGATAGAGAAGCACCTGGCGACCTCGGCCTGGCCTATGGTCCTCCCCCCTCCTCCCCAGCCCCCGGAGTTGCACTCTGTAATCTTCGGAGCCTCTAGCCAAAATTGGATCTCTGCGCTCAGGAACCCAGTTTGTGGGACGTCCCGAAGAGATGGGAGAAGGCAAGGCAAGAATCGCAGAGCCTGGGAAGGCCGGGCCTCTGCTCCGCTCCTGTGAACGCGTGTCTAACGGCAAAGGTTGTGGGTCTGCTCGCCTTTAATAAACTTCTGCAAACCTCTGTTCGTTCTGGGTGGCTCGGCCGGACATCTGAAGCAGCCCTTTTGGTCGCTTTACAGGTCAATGTATTCTGTTGATCCAGGAAATGGCTCGGTTCAGTCAGATGGTTGTGTGAACGCACCCCCGTGTCTCCGACTGCTTCTATCCTTTCAAGTTCGAACTGCAGCAATTGAATCTCGGGAACTCTCTTTGACCGCGGGGTGAAACGGGAACTCCTCTGAGCATCCGTCGAGTTTCTTTCCCTCCCGTTGTGCCTCGGGGACTCACTCAAGGAGAAGATTCCCTCCCACCCATAAAGGGTCCCCGTCCTGGCCTGGCCTTCGCTCCCCGCCCTTGGCTTTCAAGGCCAAGCCAAAGCGACCCTGCTTGG